TGACACTTAGAGCCTTCCGGCATCGAGTTATGGACAGTCTCCATGCCTCATCCATCGATGTGATTCTCTGTCCTGTGGCTGGATTTGCTGTAGCTTTGCCAATTAATCCGCCTTGCGCCAGCACTGGTATGCTGGTCTTCCAAAACCTTGCCAACACATTGAATGCTCCGGCTGGATGTGTGCTGTCGGGATGCGTTGTGGAGCCTCGAGATATTAAAGTGTTGGAACAGGCGGTGAATGGAGTGGCAATTAAGTCAGCGATGGACAAAGTGGAGGAGAATTTCTACACAGGCTATGGAATGTTGTCCCCTCTCCATAGAAATATGCTTTTAGTGAGTCACAACTCCACATACAGCCTTACTTTCTTACTCTCCAGTTGTGGTAGTTGGTCTAGTACAGACGCACGATCATGTTGCGGTACTCTTGACGCTGTCTGGATTCATAGACAGTTAACGGTCTCAAGATCACGCAATCATTCGGTAAAAAGATTAACATGGAAATGTTTGAGAGTTAGAAAGGCAGTTTATAAGTCTCCTTCCTCATTTTTACAGCTACAACAGGGGACAGAAGGACTACCGATTCCGGTTCAGTTTATGTCATTACCATGGCAGGATGAACTCTGTCTATTTGCCATGAGAGAGGCCGAATTGGCTTGTCATTGACTTTCTCTACCAATAAAGTCACTTTTCTGCTGAGTCAACTTCTTCTCGGTGTGAATGAGGACTCCTGAGAATCGATGGATAATGTGGAGACGTAGGATAGAAATGTTGATTACCAAATAAGTTGTATCGAGTGCCAACAATTTAAGTACTCTCATCCACGTGGCATCAATCGATAGTCGCGGAGTGTGCAACGCCTTCTTCTGTGGGGGTTAGACACCTCGTTAATGTCATGCGACACGGAACCTTTCCTCCACCACCTCCACTTCCACCCCTCCCGTCGCCGACAAAGTCCACATGCACTTGCAACCCCTCCTCCATGCCTCCCACCAAAGGCTTCGATCTTCGTGCTAGTCGCAGTTCCGACGCGGAGATCTGGAAAGCCGGTCTTGATGTGAGTAAGGGGGAGTTGGAGGTGGTTTTCGGTGAGCTGAGACCCGATCAAATTGCTAACAAATTGAACAGCACATTTCCTGATCCAAATCGATCCATAATCATTCCTTCACACCAATCTCCAGGTAATAGTGGTGACACTGGTGTGACAGAGTTGAAAACAGCTTCAGGAATCCCTTTCAGGGGGGCCTTAAATAGCTCCAGAAATCAACTTCCAGGCATCAAAAATAGTAGATTCAAGGAGTACTTACAACGCTACTTCCCTCGGGAGAATGTTATAATGCAACCACTGGAAAATGTGATTCGAAGTAAGTTAAAATTTGTTCTGCTTTTTTTTTTCAAATTTTGGTAGTTAGACGACTCGATCTTCCATTGGGCCTAGCTTAAGAGACTGGCAATTGGATCAGTTGACTTGGCGTGATTGCTACCAACGCGTGTTTTCCACACAAGTCATTTCATCTAATCACCAAGACCGTGCTAAACACAAGACGTGTCACATGTCTGCAATGTTTGGTAGCAAACACAATAAATCTTTGCAAAGAAAAAAAAAAGAGGGCAAGGAATTCATTCACTTCACTTTGGGCTGGAGGTCAAAAAAATTGAGTGATTGTAGGTAGCTAATCTGTGGAAAATCGAGTCGCCTTTGTCCTGTTCTTCAGCCCAAAGTCAGTATAGCTGAAGCTTTCAACAGCCTCAGTTATCCTGATGTGGTTCGCCCCTTTTTTTTTTCTTGTCTTGGAGAGGCTTAAGTTGGACTGATGCAAATTGTCGTCTCTTTGTTCCTCCTAGGCGTTCTCAATGAGGCCAGTCAACAAATTGCATCGGGCACGACAAATCGCTGAATCGGTTTTCTCTTGTTTCACTTCCATCCTCACACATTTCATTTTGTAACGTACTAGGTAACCTTTTTTTCTGCTCTCCCCTCCTGATCTTAAATAAATTTTGCAACAAAGTGTGGGCGCACCGTTCACAGCTCCTTGGCAGCCTCCACAACGTAAAGATAGTTGGAGGTGTTAGGCGCAGCAGCCACAGACAATCACAGAGCCACCGAGCAAGACAAGAGAGAGTGGCAGGACAACATCCGGTTGACTTGGATCAACGAGAGACACAAATGAGCCACTTTTCTTTGGCGTTATAAACTTGGCATGAAATTTCGCTCTGGTGGTTACACATGGGGAGATTTATGTTCTGTGGAGCAGTCGATAATGAATGTAGTTTGGGAGACTAGAAATAGCATTCCTTTCCAAAGCTGTCTCAACATCTATCCATTTCTGAGGCATCAATTTGTAGACAGAAACAGACGCTCCTGAACAATTGGTGTAATCGACGATTTTTTTTTCGGACATTATTCATTTACCTCATTTACTTTGCCTAGACATGGCAGCCGAGGGTCGCATAGCCTGCAACCCACCTGTAACCACATGGGATGCTCAAAGAGATCATTCACCCTTCCGACTAAGCGCTCATGAACGTGCCATATGCACACCGGCGAAAGAGGCGACTTCTCCATCCTCTCAGGTGGTTTTAGAATCGAAACAACAGCAGAGTCGGTTCGAGCGAGTGCAGAAGGTGTATCAAGAGCGCAAAGGCGTTCCAGTACAGGCTAGTGGTGAGTATACCCACTGCTTTATCTTCAATTGCGTTGTGAGAGCCGACGCATTGACTACATTGAGAAATTGACCTAAAATCCTAAACAAAAATTCACTGCATAGATTTCTGAATGTCGGAGGCGCAGCATGCAAAAGGGACTACTCTATCAAAGGTAGCTGATGCGATTTTCCTTTAGTGGTTAAGCTGCTTTATCACAGAGCCCTTTATATTTAGTTTGAACGCAGCTGCGCCTACTTAAATTATGTCAGTAGAGAGCATAAAGAATCCTTTTCTTAAGCGGAGCAGAATATGCACCACTTGGTACCGTGTAGACTTTTACCGCTTTAGCTAAAAAAACTAGTGCTGGCAATGATGGAGTCCAAATGCAGTCCAAAAGATTAAAATTGTATGCCTCTACCACTGCCTCCGCTTGCCAAAACGAGGAACAAACAAGAACGACTGGTGTTTCGACTTGTAAGGTTTGGCGCGAATCAGATAAGGAGACCAAAAATTTGGTTGAAAAATCGTATACTCCTAAGGCATACAAGTTTGAACCTAGATGCAGAAGTGGAATCAGGAGTGCACTTTCAATGCGCTCCTCATCTCTCCGTCGTCAGCAATCCTTTTCCCAGAAATGCATGTCACAAACAGACATCTCCAAAGCCCAAGTTAAGCATCAGAATAGCCAAGCTTACGCTTCCTCACCTTCTTGCTGGTTATGCTTACATGCTCACCGTCACCGCCACCACTGCCACTACCGGCCACAACAACAGCCAGAGCAGGACGATCAACAACGCCAAATGCAATCTGAAGTCGGTACAGTGGTGAAGGATAAGGCCTTGAAATCGTCCACGATTGTCTCCAACCCCACCGAAAGTGATGCTCGACGAAAACCACTGATAATTACAATGGCTCCAACAGTTGATTTGAAAGGGGAAGACAGGAAGTGCGATCTGTCAGGGATGGCTAATGCGATTTGTGGACTCGGAGATGTTTGTGAAAAATTGAAGAAATGTGTCACTTCAGTGCAAAATCATATCATGGAATCGCTTTTGGTAAGGAATTCTTGTGGATTCTTAGAGCATACACGAAGGACGGGAGTGCATAAAGTCTCGATCTTCCATCTCCACAGCCCAGCCTTGTTGTAATGGGACGTTTCGGTGAAACCGGTCATCGAGACGGATTTGAGAGAGTTCATCACTTTAGTCATTTGAAGACGGTAGTTCTAGAGACCTCATTTACCAATATGCTAAAGAACTACCCATCATCACGACCGTCAGAGCAGACAAGTGGAGATTCCGGTCGTGGCAAATTTTTTTTGCTTCCGCAATGGGAGCAAAGGTTTCTGGGAATGGAGCGGCGGCAATGCCTTGGGCGAACTGTTCTTGCCTTTGAAGGTCCTTCGAGAAAGACTTTGGACTGCTTTGTGTCTGATGAAAAAAGGAATTAGTAGGTGAGTTATTACCTGCTTTGCAAAACTGTTGTAAAGTTGTTCGTAGCCCGGATAGGCGTTCTCAGTTCCACCTATGGAGTAGTTATGCTAACCTAAACGAGCATTGCACTGGTTAGACTAGACGCATGCAGAAACGGCTGCATAGGTACCACTGCCACCCAACATTGTAAGTCGCAACGCCTTCATCAAAGTCCTATTGTTCCACCAAAATGCATTCGGTTAGCACAACAACCCACACTTGAAGGCCCAGTTAAGTGTAAGTGGGTACTTGCAAGACTGCATTGATAGAATACTTTGGGGAAACGCATGAGACACTGATTAAGTGATCTAGATACCCATTTTCCCCCTAATTCGAATTCGTAATGATTCGATATACTTGCTACTCACTATTGTGAGTAGTATAGCCGCTGCAAAATTTGTAAGGGCGACAAATTAGTTGTCCATACTATGTTTGCTTGTATTTTCTCTGAAAAAAAGCCTTTGTGACAAGAATCTTATCTCCACCTTCTTTTCTTACTTCCACAGTCAATTTGGAGAGTGTTGGCTGCATCAAGATCGCCTTCGCGGCAGTGCAACTCAATACAGCTCCACAGATGGAATTTCATTTCTTTTCAATCACTCATCTTCACGCAATATAGGCCTTGAAGGTCTAAAAATGTTCAAGCTCTTGGAACACTCAAGGCCCATTCATTGTTTTATTTAACTAGAACATAAATATTGCTGTTGTTTGTTTTCTTCTTCGGAGTGGTAGAGAGTGATTTGAAGCTCCATAGTCGATTTAAGTGTTAGGGAAAATGGAAGTGTGCCTTCAACACCTGTGTGTACTCTTGGCTCAAACATTCTTGTAGGCCAGTCCATGCAAGCCAAAAGCAGTTGTCAACCAAAAGGGAGACATCGCGAAAGAAAATTCCTGCATCACAGGCTCCACCTCCTTGATTACCTCGATTTGAAAGTAGACATGGCCTGATGTATTTCCACGCAGTAAGGTGAACTCAACAGATGGATGGTCGAGGCATCCTCATTTCCACACTCATCGATGCCTTGGAGTGCCGCAAAAGCTTATCAGTAACTTAGTACGCTAGAGGAGAGAAACTGACACAACCTCATACGTCGACTGCGATCAACTTCAACACCAAGGCCAAAGGTGAAGCGAGCGCTTCACTTCGACCACTCTTAGGCAAAGCTGGTTATTTTTTATGTGCATGGACTGAGCAAGTCTATCGATGAGTGGCAAGCACACTTTTGACTCACAGTGTGTTGATGGATGCCAAAGTTGACAAATCCTTGCACAAACTCCAAGTTAAACGAATGCGTTCATGTCATAGCGGACTGTTGTGCCACACAGAGTCTAAGAAATCCGAAGGTGCGCTCTGATTGACCGTGTTATTGCTTGAAAAGTTTGTTAAGTAGACAGGCATGCAACTCTAGAACTGTCCAAACTAAATTCAGCCTTTATGACCTCTCATGAGTCAGTTGCCAGGACGACAACACGAAACTGTGACCGAAGTCCCTATGGACGTTCACAGTAAAGTTCCGTTTTCTGATTCTGATCCAAGCTCTCGAAGGTGCAGAGTTGCGTAATGCCTTAGCCTTAAGCTACATCTCTAAAAATGACAACATGAATTTTTAAAATGCAACATAAACATACTACTTAAAAGTAAAAAACTACTGAAAAGCAGAAAAAAACCAAAGTTCAACCCACTGCTACAGTCTTGATGTCTCTGTCATGTGATCTGCAAGGACACTGAATATTGATTTACGGGCACACGCTGTTGTTTCCTTCCACGCTCCTTGGCCTTTGTTGAAGAGGGCATGACGAGCGTTCAACTTCGCAGTCTTCCATCCGCTCCCTCCACTCCACCTGATGGACCAGCGGCTCAAAATGCTGTTGCCCTTTTCATCTTCACTATTCCCATGGGCACATTGAGTCAGGACTTGTTTGTCAATCCCATCTACCGATCGGTTCGCAATACCATTGCCAAACGGTGTCATTGCGAGATGGCAGTATTTGATGGCAATACTATGCTTCAACGTGCTCACTCTGGTCCCAAGTCAGTTCGAAGTAGGATCCGCAATGCCAATGGCAATGCGTCAATGGGTTGCGACGTCAGTCAGACATGCGTCAGTCTTCTAATCAACATCACCAATACACATGAACAGGTACTATTTGCTCGTGGAAATTGGCTGATTCAGGTGAACTACCTGACAGAGCCCAGCGAACATCATTTATTTCTCAAATTAGTCAATGATTTTGCAACCCGGTTGAATAGTTCAGGGAGATTTAAAAGGGGAGCTGGATCCCCACTAATCAGCCAGGGGTTTAAATGCACAACTCTGGTTGCCATAACACACGAAAAACTGCGACAAATCTGGCAAAGCAACCATCTACTTTCACTGGAACAGCAGCAACCAAAACAACAACAAGAAGGTGTTCTAGGCGAAAAGAAGCCCCAGAACCAGCCTTCGGCGTATCAGAAACACCAAAAGCCATTTCTGGCACTCAAAAATCCTAATCTTCCTCGTGAATGGGGTGAATTTCCAACTCTCGAACCATTCGAAAGCATTGAAGACCTTCAAATAAACCCAACAAACCAGAAGATGGTCGAAGAGAACAAGAGGACGCCTACAGTTATTCTGTTCCAAGATAAAATCGAAGGAACCATCGACATGTTTGGCAAACCATGGCAAGAAAAAGCCCTCAACCAGGAGAGTGACAACGGCAGAATTCGGCTTGCGGAGATAGCATCTCTTCTTCGTCCAGCTGATCACAATGCCAATCATCACATCCCAGAGGAAATGACACTCAACTGTATTGAATGTGCACACCACCTCAATGCTCTGGAGGCCGAAGACATGGAAGAGGAGAAAGAGGAGGATGAAATTGAAGCCCTGTTTAAAGAGGAGTTCAAAAGCAAGCATACATGTACTCTGGAACAGGAGGTTGAAGATTCAGATAGCCTTGTGGATATGGAGTGCAATTAAAGTGGTCGTCTCTCATCTTCGCCCTCTTTTTCAGTCAAGAGGTGATTGTGCTTTGCTCTCATTTGACCAATTGTTTTTTGCGCGATCGTGCAGATTCACTTGGACGTGTGTCATGAATCCGACGATCGGATTTTCCTTACACATTTGAAAAAAATTGCATCTGTGAAGGAAGATAACCACATTGCTTCTCTTGTCTTCTTTCGTATTAAAGGCAAATAGGGGAGTTCGGGGATGGGGAGGTGAAGGAGTGAAGATGGTAGCCATAAAAGTGATTTTTTTTTAAAAGTAAGAGAATAGAAGCAATACAAACCAAATCGAATGTCAGATGTACGGGATTGACGTGAGAGACGCTATCACGGTGGGGTTACAAGCCCAAGTGAGCGTTTAGGGGACGGTCAGATGCAGTGGTGTTTTCGTCTCCGGGCGCGTGGACGATCATTGGGCGTGCCTGTGCAGCGGGGAAGGCCAAGTGGCATCGAAGACATGCCTCCGCGCGATTGGCTAAGCCAGGCACACTAGAAAAAGAGACACACGGAGGAGGAGGGGGAGGAGGAGGACGACGACGAGGAGGAGGAGGAAGCACCCAACTGTCCGGTCAAACTACCTTCAGTTTAACAGCATTGCATGCCCTCGAGCGATCAACAGAGCAAATGAAAAGTCGCGTCCACCACAACGATGGCACGGAGTGATGAATTCGACCAAGTACAGCGTTGCATAGCTCTGCAACTTTCAAATTGCAACATTCTTGAAACCAAATAACAACGCATTATGACTGTGCATGAGCGGATGATTTTATTTCTGATTATAAAAGCCATAGAACAATGGCAGTGGAGCATGGTGATAGTCGAGAGGGCAAGGGAGGCAGACGTGTAGACGGGAGAGAAAGTAAATTAGACCGATACCACAACCATAAAAGAATACTCAAGGGGGAAAGAATGCGAGTTGGCACAAAAGAAGTATTAAGGCATCATCACAATTAGCATAAATAACAATAACAATCCGAATGATTTCATTTTGGCTGTAGTCTCCATTTCAGCGGCCTTGCATAAGTTTGGAAAGAGCAACCACCCGCTCGGCTTGTCGCACCGTTGGCCGATCAATCATATGGCCATGGAAGGCGAATGCACCGGCGTCAAGAGCGGAACGATCTGCGGCCTTTGCAGTCGTGCAGGTGGAGGCATTGGACAAAGCAGCGTGCGCTGCCGCCGCTTCCACCACCTTGGTAGCCCATTCAATTCGCTCTGGACTCGGTGCGTAGGCTGCATTGGCTGGTTCGATTTGCTTTGGATGGATTAACTGCTTCCCATCGTAGCCCAGTTGTGCTCCAAAGTCACAGTTAAGACGAAAGGCTTCCATGTCTAACAAAAATCAAGAATCGAAAACACAAACCTACTATTCAAGTCCGTCTCCACCATATCGAGAGAGGCTAGACCATAGGCTTTACACATTGTCACCAAGTACTGCCTCGCAAATAGCGCCTCCTGGCGACCTTGTGAGTGGGGAACACCTGAAAACAAAGCCTGGCATAAAATTCTTCCCCAATCAGATTATTTAAAATAGCAAGTTCAATCATTACCTAGACTGGCACAGTAGTCGTCAGATCCGAAAACCATGGCGACTAGAGGGAGTTTAAGGGTATTTCGAGCATCCTTGCAAATCTCTCGCATGCTCAACAGACTGCTAGCTGATTCAATCATCCCAATAAGAGCTAGATTGGGGACAGGCGCAATGTCGTGTTTCTGAAATATCCGCATTACTTGGGACTCCACCTAACCCAAGGGAGGCAGACTTCAAAAGACTAAGTAAGGCATACCCAATGCAGATCAGCGACAGACTCGGTTTTCGGTACGGAGATGTAGTCAGGACCCGGCCAACCGCCACCATCAGCCTTCATAGTCTCAGCAGCAGTTGACAGAACAATGTACAGATCATCTGCAGCAAGACCAGTTGAGGGTGCATTAATACGTAGCGAAAGGCCTCGAAGTAACTGAGTCCGATACTGTTCAAAACTTCGCGTCTGTAGCGACGAAGCTATAGTTTTGCGTGCCAATGCCTTGCAACACAGTTGAAAAGAAGACGAATGAGTGGACGCCTCATTGACCTGATGGTTTGCAGTTTTCAAGAAGGTGTTGGGAAATAGGCTATATGCGTTTTACTACAGGAGCCTTTTCAGACACCCACCTGTGCCAAAAGTTGTCCAATAAACGCAGTAGTAAATTGCAAGTCTTTTTCATTAGCGATTACAGTATCCGACACACATAGCATGCACAGGCTGATCCAAAGCAGTTCACACACAGGCTCAAGCACCTGTGGTGAGCGCGTCCATACAGCAGAGTACGATAATGCAGTTTCCCCTGAATACAAGTGTAAAACCCAAAGACATCTACGCATGTTCATGGACGTTCAGTCTCACAGGTGGTATGGTATGCGGTGGGAGTAAGTATTGCCAAAGAAACAAATATGCCTAGTAGTAACGACTGCAGCATTTCAGTCTACATCGCAAGCTGGTACATCGTCAATTTCGGAGAGCACGCACTAGACACTGGAACGGCCCTATACGTGTAGCCGGCACAAATAACGGAGCGAAACAGGTTCTATTGACGACACACCTTCTAAGCTGAAGTATATTAATGTAAAAATTGAACCCAGTGGTTCTATTAGGACTCGAACACTCCGTCTGTGTAGGGTGTTATCACTCCAGCAGCAAGTGAAGCGGCAAGGTAAGAGAACTCACCTTGTTTTCAGCAGAGACCGCATCTTCGCAATCGAGAACAATAAGGTCAGGAATAGAGGAGGAGACGTGAGTAGTGTTACATATATTCTCCATCTTCTTAATCTTTCTCTCCTGATCTCCAGGCACGTAGAGGAAGGAACGCCATAGGCGTTCGCTAGATACCAAAGTAGAAGCCTTTCTCGGCACTAGATGTGCCAATGAATGCAGCACCGACTTCCTTGCAATTAGGGTCCCTATTTGCATCTTGAGATCGAGCTATAAAAAACAAAAGAACAACCCCAGATTAGTTAGTTTCCTTTAAGGAAAATAAAGGACGTTGGGCGGGACAAGGACCCAACTCTCAAGATTTTCATGTAATTACAGATCACATTTTGTTTTTGAGGAGTGCTTGAGGTGTGCACAGTAATGGGAGTCGGGATCATGCTTTCTTCCAGAACTCTTTTTAGCACCTTTATTAAATGTTGACAAAAAGGAACAAGGAGACGAAGGAAATGGTGAGTGGGGTGGACAAGAGTGATGCCTGACTTTAGCTACAATGGTGGAGAGAAACACACGGGATTCAGCTGATGTATACATATGCAAAGGAAGTAAAGGAAAAGGAGAGATGAAAATAATTAGCGATGATAGTTGTAAAGTGATTGTCACTTTTAATACCAGTATCACTATCTATAAAGTTGGACCATTCGATCACAGCTTGGCGTGGCGAAGCCTTTTGCTCGTTCGAAGGCTGCTTCATCACGAGTATAGCGAGCCCGGTACAAGAGAGCCTCTTCTAAAATTTTCAAAAAAAGCATACCATCCAGACAGAGCATTTCGACACTTCCATAATGCTTGAAACTTTAGTGTTTTATTGCAACAAAAGTTGTTGAATGGAAAATGGCTTAGTCAAACTCGAGTACACGACTGCAAAATACGGAAGTTTTATAAAGCGAAAACTGCTGTCGCTTCTCGTCTACTGCAGTCCTCGGTTGCTGGATTTGCCTCTCCCACGCTTGACAAGAACCTGGAAAGTTCCCAAACACAAAAATGTGCCAGCACGTCTGAACCATTTCAAGATAAGCTGTTTAACCTTCCGACATGGCCAAATTTAAAGTAAAATTATGTTCCTCGCACATTGGGACAGGGGAGGACGTTCACATGACTAATAAAATAGTCGCATATAAGTCAAAATACGACTTAGCGCTCATGCTGAACGACCAAGGGCTCCGATATCGAACTGCGAAAAGCTAGAAGCCCCCTGTACAGGTGGCTATTCGCATCGCACTACTAGCCTCGGGTTAGTTATCACTGAAACGTTCTTGAGCTAATGACATTAGCTTTGTTCAAGCAAGCTGCTTCGCAATCGGTAGCGACTACTCACTTCATTGGCAAACTTGAATGCCCATCTTCTATTCCCATACGAAGTTTGAAGAGCTCAAGAGTGTAAAAATTGAAAGCTTGTCAACAATTCCAAATCCCGACTAAACCTCATAGAAGTGCGATTCCAGATAGCAATCCCTTAAACCATTATTGACAATTGAGAGAAAAAATTATGCCATGCAGCCTAACTTGACAATGTTGAGGTTATACGATAAACCTTAGCACACACACACACAATATGGTGCAAAAGAGTACAAGCTCTCCCCCACCTAAACTGTACCAACTAGTCGCAGTTGTAGCTACCCACACAGAGTAAACAATTGATGGAATCACACCGATTGCAGTCAAATCATCCGCACAAATAATTTAGACATCAAATCAATCCATTCCAGCATAAACTTTAAAAGGGGGATAGCCGAGGGATACGTAGACACAATCCAACTAAAACTTTGTCAACAAAAGACTACTTTCAAGCAGACACAAATCCTATCGACAAAAGAGCGTGATGTCTAAGGATTTAGCCGCTTATTTTGCCACGTGAGAGACGACATTCCAGACGGGTACTCACTCTGTGAGCGTTCCTTAAAGCACTTATCGCGGAGAACGTACAGATGTTGTTCAAGCACTTGATTCTCTATGTGACGTATAGATCCACCGTATTCCTGTGAAAATGTATCCTTCACGTAATAGGGCAAGTTGTGAGCTTGCGTGTGGCGTTGTATAGTGTACTTTCTTCAAAGGAATGTAAAAAATCTTCCAATCACATATTCAAGTAAGTCGATCAGAGTAAGAGATGAATAGACTTACGAAGTCCGCTGAAGGCTAAAGACGGGATCTTTGACAAGAAAATTACTGAAGAATGAGAGCCCGAACAGGATAAGAAGTGGTAAAATCTGGATGTAGGCGAAATAATTATTCTGGGTTTGGAGGACGAAAAGAAAAAAGAACGGTTTTAGAAACGAAAATTTATTTAAAATACAAATCACAAGATCAAAAAAGACGTGGGCGCGTATTTGTCTATGTTAGAGACGCAACAACTCCTGCAGGAATCTGCTCATCAGTGATAGAAGGAATAGAAATAGTAAAGGTAGTATTTGTAAAATTGAAAGTTCACCCTGCGAAAAAGAAAGAAGACCAAGCATCCAGACTAGTGACAATGCCTCACCAGAAGTCAGCACTTCAGAACAACATAAAACACACTATCCTGTGGGCGCATTAACAAACGTTCCTGGAGGAAAGAAACAACTAACCTCATGATTGGAATCGTGATGTTGCGCGTGTCTTGTATATCTTACGTTCTGAGCGAATGGAAAGCCACCATTGAAGAACATATTAATAAACTCAGCTAGAAGAGAGACGATGACCTCTAAAAAGCACATACCATCGAACCCGGTATTGCCATCAAAAGTGTAAACACCCTCGTGTCGACGTGTAACAGATGGACGTTCCTCATCAACTGTACCGAATTGGTCATAACGACGACGTTTTTCGGCGTCTACCAAAACATTGAAGGCACTACCGATCTTTTTAAAAGCTTCAGTTGCACCGGGAGCCTTATTTTTATCCGGATGGTACCGTCGAGCCAAACTAGAACAGGTAACAAAACCACTATACAGAGTATTACCTTTTGTAGGCCCGTTTAATATCATCCTCAGTAGCATCTTTGGAAACCCCCAACACGGAGTAGAGATCGCGACAAGCCATTATTCGACGAACGGATTCAACCTGGGCTTTTGTAAAGCTCTTCTCTTCTGATCTTTCACGGGAACGACGAGAATCCTCGTTTGCAGGTTCATTCCTCGAATGGCTGACAGATCTGCGCCTCCTTACTTCCGTGTCCTTATTATTAAGCAATATATAGTCTAACATGCAATAATGGAAAACCATTGTCTACCGGGAATATCGACCTCAGGGAACAGGGTTTTTGCTTTTCTGGCAAAACGCACCGCCTCAGTGGTATTACCCTGTTTGAAATATGAGACAGCCCGTTCCACACACAAAACTGCAGCATCACGATTCGCCTCCATCTGAGGTTCAATGTACCAAAAATGCCTACAAAAGCGTTAGAAATTAGCAAGACTGTACTGCTAAAAACCGAAACCACAGGAGGCCCGCTAAAAAAGCCCGCCTTAGCAAACAAGTGAAATAAACAGGAGACGCAGTGACCCACAGAAAGTGGAACTGCAGCCAACCAAAATACACCAGAAGTCCATGCAACCAATGCTTAAAATAAAAATAAAGGGAGACCTTACCATATAAAGTATCCACGTGTTCTTAAAAAATGCTTTTTTTCTTGCACATAATTCTGCTTATTTTCATATTAATGTAGCATTGTATATCCAATGCTTATATAACTCTTTAGTGTACAAAGTCTGCTAATTTTTTTTATAAATTTTATCGTATTTTTGATTAACGCCATGATGTCTTGAATCTAAAGGCCAGTGTAACATATTGAGACCTACTCAAGGCATTAGAAGCAGAAACTATGGGTTCTTGAGGCTTTTCATAGGGTAGAAGAAGGCACTAAGTGCGACTGGATACATGTAGTCCGAAGTGAACAGAGCAAATTGGTCTGAGCATGGCCTGAAGGCCGGCCCATGAGTACATGGACCAGACAAACACTAAATTGGCCGTCGAACAGCAGGTAGTTGCATAAAAAAAGCATTACATTGCTCCTCTCTTCTTTTGAGTGGCGTCCTTAGCGCTCAACTTATGTACACCTCCCGCCCCAGAATTACAACATATTCGGCACTACAAGAAAACACCCACGAGCCAACCGCACTAGTCGACAGATAGCATCGGACTAAAGAACAATGCCCGTCTAAAGTTACGTTCGGTCTGACAACCAGATTCAGGGTCACATGCTCCCGTTAATCATCAAATGCTTCCAGAATTAGACGGTGAAACTATGGTCTAAAACAGATATGTTACAAGGAAAATGGGATGAGCCACTGTCCCGTATCTAAGGGTAACCGTATTGTCACTTCCGACACCTAAACACGGATTTCGTTTAAGAAATTCCGACACGAAACTTTTCCATATAGTTTATGGCATTGTCGCTTCAGTTTTTAATAGCTTGTCTGTGGAACACGCGAATAAGGTAAAACCAAATGCAGACGTCGGTCTAAATCGTTTTGATGTGATGGATTCCGGGATTCTCCGTCACCAAGGTAAATCACTTCCTTCAACTCACGCCCTCTTTTCGCTTGTATCATCATCTTTTGAACTTCGATAAAGTCAGACCTCCTTCTACGCATGTATACCTCATGATTGCCGGTGCGCAACGCCAAGATGCGCTTATTAATCTTGGATTTCGCCACCAAGAAGCAGAATTCCTTTGCAATCTTGTCTGCTGGTTGGATTATGACCATCTTGTCGTAAAAAGAGAAGTTTTTACTTTCTGGCCTAGGGAACGCGATTTTGGGTCCAAAAGATTTTCAGGCTCATAGATACTCACCTAGAATAAGCGACATACATTTCCAACTCCTTTGCGATTTGTAGGTACAGGAGCATTGCACCATCCGACGGAACCATTGCTCGTCTGCACATTTGTATTGTTCTTTTGTAGGATGTCAGTAAGACAGCAGTGTCTGTTGGATAATAGATTTTCCCGCACATTATGTCCCTTTTAGCAAACGATTAATGAAGAACAAGTGGCAGAGAGAGACCTACCTCGGATGCAACAGAAGGTCTTCAAAAGCACTTTATACTGTCACCAATGCCACCAGCTCAGCTTCCCATACTCGTGGGATGGCCTTCGGGCCATGCTCAGGCCCATTTGCTCTGTTTACTTCGGACTATATGTATCAAGCCTCATTTACTGCCTTCTTCCGCCCTATGAACAGTCTCGGGACGCTACAAATGCAGTAATGGTATTTTACATTTGCATAGCCTTTTAAAACTTATTTTCCTTGTTTGTCTATAAGTATCCTGAGCACCCATTCTAAGCAAAAGCTGTAAAAAGGTTGTTTACATATGACAGGAAGTTCTAAAAATATACTTCACGCAGCTGGGTGGGGATTGACTGCTCCTCTGTGGTTTGTCTACACTTTGAATTGTAAGGCCTACACGCTTTTTGATAAGTCATTTAAAGTTTATAGGTCATTGTCGGTGACCTTGAGCGATGGTTAAACCAGTTTTTGAATTATTTTGATTGATGAGTTATGGAAATTGATGAAGAATATCCATTGCACTATTGCGTATTTCACGGGTTATCAGAGTTTGAGCACCTGGTTAGTAATGCAACTGCTGGTCAGTTAAATAAGACGGATCCCTATGGTATGATTTCTGTTAAGTGGCTGTTTTGATTCATAGGAAATACCCCACTCCATATCGCCGCGATGTTAAGAGACGAAAGTAATTGTAGTGTTTTTTTACTGAAGATTAGAATGTCTGGATCTTTTGCTCTCGAAGAACTGTGCCTTAGATATCCGTAATTCGTCAGGTTGGCGACCCATAGATGAAATAGTGGCTACTGGCAATGAACCACTGGGTAAATTCACTTTTTATTTCTGTGTAAAGGTTTTTTCAAGTAAGGCGAGGCTATTGTCTTTTTCGGGAGCAGCTAAGCAATAACGGCCAGAGTGCTGTTATTTCACAAAACCTACTGAAAATTCCTGATTGCATTTTGGATTTTCGTTGGGAATTCCGTACATGGGGCAAGTAGAGTTTATATACATTATGGTCTTTTTTGTTTTGCTTTCATATTTTTTACTTAATTCTGTAGTTCCATTTCTATCTCGTCATTTGCCTTCGGATAACTGCAGATTATTCAAAAAGGGTAATCTCGTTAGGTATGTCAGGTCGCTGTAATGTCATTTCCTTGTTTGCATTTTTATGAATGTTTATCTTTGAGTTTCTGCATGCACATTCTTTTGCAGCGACGTTTTCGCTTTTTACAGACTTGATACGACTCTTCTTGATTTTAAAAATCGTGATTGGGTCCGCGGCCAATTGAGCATAATCGTGGACGGAAACAAACCGTTTGAATCCCGCATCTGTCTCATAGATTATGATCACCGAAGCTATCAAATTCTCGACGGAACGGTAGTATTACCTCTTTATACTTAACCTTGGTCACTTTGTACGAAACACGTCCCTACCCAGCGGTTTGCAAGTTTGTAGTGGAATAAGTTGGTTTTATTGAAAAGCCACCTTCCATCACTAATTTGTCGATTTTGCTCCTTTTGCACTGTACAGATGACTCGCGAGAACAGCAACGAATGGCTAAACGAGACTGTTCAAAGCGCCCTTCACATGCCACTCATTCGAATGCACATGGACTTCACCCGACTCTCCTGTAAGAGGGAGGCTTCAAAATTACTGTGGAAAAAGGATAATGCCGCAGAAAGAGTGAGTCACATGCACTCTCAGCACTTAGAAAGCATGTGCATATTTGTGATACTGTATCGTCAGGTTGACATCATTCGCCATACTCCAATTCATTTGTCTATTAACTGCTTGTCGTTTGTTGTCAAGGCAGTTAGGCTTCTGGGTCGTGCATAGAAGCTAACTGTCACAGTGGTAGTTGGCTGGAGTGAAATCGCGGCATGGCGATTTCTCAAATCCCGCCTCACGTCTGCCTCTTTATGCGGTCTCCTCCTTCTACTGTCAGCATGTGTTACTCATGCGTGGCAAAGTGTCTGTGCTCTGCTCCAGGGGATGTAACTCAACGACTTTTATGCTGGGGGCTAGTCTGTGGTGGAATCGCTTCACGTGCAAATGCATTGCTCCCTTTCTTCCGCCACTTACTTGAATGCATTTGGTGTTGTTATCGCGGTATTAGTGATTATAATGAAGTGACATCTCACATTCACCTATTTGACTTTTTAATATGGCAAACAGTGTCAGCAGTGCGGTGTTTGAAGATTAAACTTAAGTTAGCAGCCTTGGCGAGCACCCGCAACGCCACATGTAGATGAAAGTAGAAAGCTAATTACTTTCACGGCTAGAGAAAGGCTGTAAATCACCAAATTTGAAGGGTGATAAAAGTCTACTCCAGTTGAGTTCACGATTAGTATCGCCGGTGACCTGATTCTCACACTTGACCCAAAAATAGGTGAAATTTGTAGCACTTTTAAAGGCGACATTTTTTTTAGTTGAGGTAGGCGAAAGTACAAAACACTGCCTCTTCGTTGCATGCATTGCGTGGGTAGCACTTGGATTTTGGCTAAAAGTCGAGTGAAAATGGAAGCGTGTGTGTGTGTGTGTGAGACACTAGCAACAAGGTGATCAGAGGTTCACACCTCGTTTGGGAGAATTTGACCTCCAGATTTTGATAAAGGCGCCTTCTTTGCTAATCACAGCATCCACTTGTCAGATGGATTTGATGCCTCTTTTTGGAGCCTTGCAATGTAGACAATGCTTGCCATGGGCCTGAGATGACGGCATTCGACGTCAACCTCATTGAGGCATTGCCTCGGCTCAACTCTACCCCAAGGCTAGACGATGTTCTCTTTGTGTTTTGATGGGAAGGAAAAGAGAGCAGAGTGGATTAAGCCTGTCTGTCCGCTCGCGCCTCCTCAAATCCTATTGGCTGGTGGTAATGAGGTCAGAGACTGTGCAACTTCCTGAACTTAAGACCAAGACAAGAAATGCTTACTAGGTCAACTCCTCTATACTATCTTGCTACTCTTCTTTTTGACTAGATTGGTCTCTACAACACTCAGAATTACTCCATTAGTCACGTCAAAATCTCGGTAAAGAAGCGGTCCGAACACCTAACCAAAGAGGATGTACACTTTCTCACTACCCTCAATTCACACATTAAACAAGGAACTGTAAACAGTGCTGTCAAGGTTCGTCACATACTTCTTTTGTATTTTTCTTTCTTTTTACCCCTAGCGTCGGGTTTGGAGGGTCCACATACCCTGCCAACACTAAGTAGCACGCAAATTGTGGAACTACGTGATTCATATTGCACCACGTGATTTATTATTTTAGTAGAAAAGAGGGACGGTGAGGTGAGGAGCGGGTGAAGACAGCAATTGTCTCTTGACGCCTCCTTTGACGTGACTGAAAATGGAGTGACTGCCTGCCTAGCATGTGCACTAGCTAGCACAAAAAATCACTGTTTTATGTGCGAGGTTATGGCAAAATTGATCTAAATGGAGACGCTCTTCGCACAAAAGCTCGTCTTACGCATTTTGTTTTCACACACTTACAAACTGTAGGAAAGAACACCTTCATCGGAAGTAGTTCAATCGTCAGAAAGGCAAAGCATTCATGTAAATGAAGGAAATTCTATAAATGTTAGGCGATCCCACATCGCACTGGCAGACGAATGAGTACCACAGAGCGTTCAACTTCCCCACCGCCATCCTGTAGTCTCCAGATGTTGGAAGCAGGTGTTCGAGAGAAATTTTACTTGTTACTATACAGTCTGATGTAAAAGGTGGCATTGACCACACATTACTGCTTTGCCTGGATCGCCATCTCAAACAGGTAGTGAAGTAGGTAAGCATACGCAGGCGTTGTGTGAGCCGTAGTAACCCTTAATGACGCCAGCGTCGTACTTCAATCACAAACGAATAATCGACTCACATTTTGGAGCTCAAAAAATTGTCGAAAACTCTTTCCCCTTATTAGTCTCAGAATAAAACTTTGTGGGTGTTGAGTTTTACCACCCACTGGTGAAAACTGCATAAATTATGTATTTTCACGCATTTTAGTTAGTTCAAGACCGCGCCACTGCGGTTAGTGGCGAAATAACAGACAGGAATGCGAAGCTACCGCGCTTAGCACCTCGTGTTACGTGGAGAGCTTATCGAAGTTGGAATCTTGAAGGAACTGACCTTTACATTGGCCGAAAACCAGCTCTCAAGCTACAAACCAATGAAATAAAACTCAACGTTGCCATGGTAAACCTTGATATTTATCAAATTAACACCATTTCTAGACAAAAGATATTGACTTCAAAATTACTTAGTAAGTCGAACCCATTTGCCATTGTTTTTTTTGGAGGAAGGACAAAACGGCTTTTTTAATCCTTGATCTCCTAGCCTCTTGGATATGTTCAAATGTTTTTCGCCTCTCCGAAAGTTTACGAAGCTAAACGAGACCATTCTTTCCTCTCTTCCACCGGGCTTTCCTGTGCGAGTTGGTATGTGTACTTATATATGCGAAGTAGAGAGCATATTCGGGTTTTTAATGTGCTGCCTTTTGCATTCATATTGAAATAAATCAAACAAAATACTATATTCCCATCTGAAACTTTAGAGCAACAGACGAAGTTTGCATATGTGCGGCACTATTGTTTTTACCACAGAAGTATTGTGGTAATTCGGTTGTGGTTTAGCTCCATGAATTTGTTTTATTGTACCACATTGAGGTTACATGGCCCGTGTGCTTGCTTTAATCATCCAACTCGTGCTATAATTACTTACCCATAAATGTTTCTCCATCTCTGTCTGATCATCGGCCATATCGTGATAATTTTAAGTTGTCCGACGGGCTTACCTTGTATTTATAGATTTTGAAACGAGTCAGTGACAAGATGATTAAGAAGAGTAGAAATAAAATACATTCTGAAATATCACCTGTGGGCTAGCCTTGAAAAGCTCTTTAGCTATTCATTCATGCAAAGAAATTTTCCCAGGCTTATTTGATCAATGCTCAAATAGTGTGGAATCAAACAATTCATCGAGCTTAACTTTATTTTTTTTCCCTAAAAACAGCTGATGTTAATTCTCACATTTTCTTCTGCGGATTCAATTTGGAGAAAAAGTATATAAAGTGCACTCCTTGGATTGCTTAGCGGTCAGAGATCTAAATGATTGAGATAATGATAGACGGGTTGGCTCAAGATTGGCTCTCTTCTTCTCCTTGCCAGCGGAAAGAGATCGTCTGAAGTTTCGAAATATAAAATTTTTTTATTTCGCAGATTTTGGGCCTGGTTTTAATGAATTTGCTTGGAATATGGGGAATTGTATAAAAAGTTGGCCGCTTCATTTCGTTGTCACCTTAGGGTTAGACCATCGGTTGTTTTAACCCACGGAGCTTTGCTTTTGGTGTTATTTGCTACTTCATAAATGGGACCACGTTAAGTTGGGTATCAATGCCTTGATTTTTCGCAAATTTTCTACAAGTCACCGCCTTCAAACACAACTTCAAGGAATAGTTTTCACTGCTTTGATAATGTGCGTTGGATGGCACTTCTTTACCACATC